CACTCAGCACCATGCTTACTCAATTCATCTGGGTGTTGTAAGTTGACTACCAGTTGTCAATCCACCACAGTGTAATTACCTTTAGCTGATCATTATGCCATATATGCATCAGTCATTAGCTAGTAAAAAAGGACTTTGATTGCCTCTCAACTATATGCAATATCACTCCAGTCCACTACGTTCACAATGTCATGTGATTGGATGTGGTTACCAGGATTACATCTGCAAGCTGCTAAGCATGGCTATCCATATACACGTTTTAATACTTTATAAGATATTATATGATTCCTGAGAAAAACCAGACCATTTGACACTATGTCCTTGAGATGCCATTTGAGTTCCCAAGACTCATATCAAATAAAGGCATACTGTGAGTTTGCCTCAATAAAACTGGCCAGGTAAGTATTATAGGAAGTGCACAGAGAACTGGAAAAACAAGTATCATCTATAAAAACTGATCTCCTGCATGCGTGCTAAATCAGGCTGTCCTAAATTCTGGTCATAAATGGAACTGAAGATGTTGCTTCTTATGCAGTTTATAAAATGCCGCACCATCTTTCTGATAACCAGGTGCAGAAGAGGACCATGGGTAGAAAGAAGAAGTGCTATTAGTTAATGCGGCCACTTTGGTAAAACATCATGAAGCACAGGGGTACTACTTATTCAGCCCATTGCCACTAGACCTTCTGAAAAACAACTGCAATAGCAAAAGAAAAAGAAATTTCCAGCCTGTCACCACTGGACCTTGCAAGTAGCACTGTTGTTGGACCTGTATGCTCGTGGTCCTTCCCTTTTAACAAGTCCTAATACACTGAATCTCTAGGAAGCTATCTTTGAGTATTTTCTTGAATCTTTGCAAGCTACTCTGTCCAATGTCCCAGCTAGGCTGTGGATAAGACAGACACATACATGCCACCAGCCAGAAAACACATTCTTTTACATACCTCTATACTATACACATATAGATTCTAGGCTAGTAATAACCTGCTGACTGTTCTCTGTCCTTAACATCAAACTCATATATGCAGAAACCTAGTGAGACAACATTCAAAGAAGCTGTTCTGGTATTTTCAAACCACACAATTTATTTACTAATATTTAAGGATTTACATGTAAGTTTAAAGATGGGAAGCATATGTATTTTTCTTTCAAGCAACAAACATCACACCATCAGTCCTCTGGAAAAGTATCAAGTTGACACTTACTAGCTGTTACTTCAATGTTTGCTGTGCAGACAGTAGTGTTTACTATTTGCAACACCTATACATACAAGTTTGTGGAAAATATGCAAACACTTAATACAACCCTTTGTAAAAATGTCCTATTATCTCAATTTAGAATCAAATTATGTTTATATTTTGTCTCACATCTTAGGTATCTTCAAAATATTTTATTATATTTTATTTAATTAAATAGCAATAAGCACTTATGCTCATGAAAATGTTACTCAATGCAGAGTGAAGTGTAGAGCACGATTTCTTTAGTTTTATTGGTTATTTTGACATTAAATTTTCTTTTTTAGCTTATATAATTTTTTATATAATTTTATACAATTACATAATTTCTTCTATAGTTTCTATATAATTTTTATATCACATAAAATTAGTCATGCAGCTACATACACTTTTCTCTCCATGCACTACATTATAGAAGATGATATAACAAAGTCAATTTTCCCTTGGAAAACTTACACCTAAAGCACTCTACCACAGTTACATTTGGACTGGCTTCATTTTAAGAATGCTGTAAATTGTTATCTGAATATCTTCTTTGTCACATTTCTTGGTTAAATTTGTTGCTTACTACATTATTAACTTGGCATTTTCTTGGCTTGCCACTTTTCAGTCAGTTTGCAATCTAGAATTCATGGAAAGTAAACATTTTACATTTTTTCTTTTTCTTTTTATTTTATTTTTTATTTTAAAGGGAAAAAAAGCTAACAATACAACACCAATGAAGACAAAAACAAAAGCAACAGAAAAACAACAAAAACACTACATGACCTCAAAACAAAATGATAAGAATTAACAATGGTTATTACATTATATATTGTTCTCTTCAGCGAAGTTGCTCAGTCCACCAGATGAATGTAAGACTGATCAAACAATCAAAGACAATAATAAGTAATAAAAAATTGGAAACAATATGGAGCTAGAAATCAACCCATAACTAATGCTTGAGAGGCTGTGGGGAAAACGGAACACTTCTCCACTGTTGGTGGGAGTACAGACTGATGCAACCACTGTGAAAATCAGTGTGGAGATTCCTCAGTAAACATTTTACATTCTTGAGTAACTTAATTTCTATTGATTTCTCAGCTTGCAGGGACAAATATCTAGAAGGGACACAGAAGATCAATGGTTTTATGTAAATGTCTGCCACCGACACTCCCATTTTTGCACTCCCAGCTCATCTACACTTTTCTTAGAACTCAGTGCTTCAGGAAGGCTTATCAGCTTGCCTTTCCACAGTATTGGCCAGTGACTACCCTTCAGATGTCTTTCTAAAAAAGTGCACCATTTGTATTACTTCGTTGTCTTCCACATACGTGCTGAAATCTCTGTTCACTGTTTCTGCTCCTATTGTTATTGTTTCTGAGCATTTCTTTTTATTATTGTTTGTGGAATTTTTCACTTTTAGAAGGGTTGTGAGAGATAGAAGTCATTACCTTGTTTAAATAGGATTAACTTTTAATGTTTTCTGCTAGACTCCATATAATTATAAAATACATAAAAAGTGAATGTTTAAATTTTTAAAAATGTCTTACAGTAAAAGACACTTTTTTGTTTGCTTTTTATTTATTTTTTATTTTTTGAGACAAGGTCTCCCTATGTAGTCCAGGCTGTCCTCAAACTCTCAGTGAGCTTCCTGCCTCAGCCTCTCAAGTCCTGGAATTATAGGTGTGCATAACCACACCCCCACATTGTTGTTAATTCCCCTCAAAACTACTTCCCTTCCCTTCTCAAACACTCTTAACCTATAACTATTGTCACTTCCTGAAGCAGTTCTGAAAGTTGTATTTCACTTCTGCATGAAGTGTGATAAACAGTGTGGGCAATGCTGCTGCTGAGTGTCATTCAGCTTTCTGCCAGAAAGGTGGGTTCTTAGAAGAATCACGTTGTGTTCTCATCCAATTTATCGTCCAGCTCTGGAGTTGTATAACTTCTGGCTCTCCTCTAAATTCAAAATATCCGTGTCAGAGAAACGTTTGGAATTGACTCAGCCCTTCCTTCCGGGCTCTTCCTCAGCTCTCAGCTTCCTGAATGCCATAAGTCAAGCAGCTTCCATCCGCCAGGTCCCTGCTCCGTGATGTTTCTGGCTTAGTGTCAACTGACCGAAAAAACTAATCTTTTATCATTTAAATTCTTATTTAAGGCAACTGGTTATAGCTATAGAAAGTCAACATAATACCTATTTATTATTTTTAGTAATCTATAGTTCCAGAATTATAAAGAAATTAAAAATTGCTTAGCTCTAGTCACACATTCTCATTTTAATGACTCATAGAAAAATCCTTTGTGGTTTATACTTTATGCTGTCACACTTTCTTGTTGACAAAGTCATATGAAGCATGGCTTGTTAGAACTTTTCTAATTTTAAGACTTCTGTTCATAAAATATTAAATCTTTCTGATTACCAGATATAAGCATGCAAAATTGGTCAAGAGAAAAAAAGTTCAAGCATTAACTGTTCCAGGTAATCAGAACAATTAAGTTGAGGACAAAAGTATGCACTAGAACAAGAATTGCTGAATTCCTACCATCTTGTTTAAAGAAGCTCTGTATAATTTCTAATTTTTTTTATTACTTGTTATTGTCTTTAACTGTTTGATCAATCTTGCATTCTTACATCTGGTAATCTGAGCAACTTCACTGAAGAGAACAATATATAATATAACAACCATGGTTAACTCCTATCATCTTGCTTTCAAATCATGTATTATTTTTATCATTTTTGTATTGCTTTGTTTTTGGCTTCATTGTTGTTATTGTTTTTTATTTTCTCTTTAAAATATAAAAAACTTTCTTTGAGAACATTAATGCTATAACTGATACCAACAAAGAATGAGTAAGAGTATAAATCTTCATCTACAGTTATGTTACCAATTATATATTGCCAGTCATAATCAAGGAATCCTAAAACCTAAAATGGACATGTTAATATTAAGAAATAAAAATGTAATTGGACTTTTATCTTTCAATGTGATATTTTGTTATTAAGTGAAAAACAATCACTAACTTGTTTTAAAAATTAGCCTTTAAACAATTGGATTTTATAAGGATTCATGCTTTAAAGAAGTATTAGGAAATATTGAAATGAATGTTGACGTGAAAAAAGTGGTGTAATAATATTTTCTGTGCTCTCTTATAAGACAAATTTTCTGAACATGGGAAGTCAAATAATGAAGTTGCATTCATCCCATCATTTAGTGATATCAGAGAGCCTGCCGGAAGTGCTATCTGCATCTCAGCTGCTGGCAGCATCCTGACGGATCTGGTTGGCAGAGACTAGTTAATGGGCATGTCAGGGTGATTTATGAAGTTCCCATTGTTTTAGTAGAGATCAGTTTTCTGGTCAATATACATGTCAGATGATAAAAGCAATGATTTCAATGTGTTTTCTTATAGGACTGAATAATGCCAGTAAGTCTTCAATGATATAATAAGCTTTTGAAAATAAGTTATTTTTAATCAGAAAATAATTTATAGTTTAATCATAAATTCCATAATATTTAATCAACATTTCTTTATGAATTAAATTTTTATTAAAAAACTGGCCATAACAATGGAGCAAAGCTCTTTCTTCCAATTTTCATTTCATAATATTATGGATTATTTAGAAGCAAAATAAACACAAAGAGTTAATAGAATTTATAGAACTGATTCAGACCATGTTTTCAGTGGTCTACAAATAATGTGATTTCTTTTAGCTCGTGACGAGTTAACTATGTTTTGTCTATTAGGGGCAAACTTGTTACTTTTGTCTTCCTTTAATTTTAGGGGAAAGCATCCAGGCAGCCCATCACAGGGACACACCAGTTGGCTCCCTGAGTGTTGTCAAGAAAACAGCCATGACAGAGCAAAGGCAGAAGGAGGAGGAGCACCTTTCCTTTTACATCTCCAGGAGCGGAGGTGACAGTGGCAGGGGCCACTGCACAGCTTCCCAGCCTGCAAGATGCAGCTTGTTTTCTAAGTCACATTTTCAAACATAGTCTTGGAAAGATCTGCAGTTTCTTGTAGGAACAAAGTTTGTCTTTTTCAAGGGCGATCTTGTCAAAGGGTTGCCCTTGACAATAACAAACACCAAAACCCCAGAAAGACCCATTCCTTTTTATTTCATCCATTTCTTGTGATGATGAGGATCATTGACTGAAATGGAAGATGGCTGTCCATGGATTACTTTCTACAACATCCAATTAAATTATGTTCATGTTGTCATGAAAATGTAGCCTAGCATTTCTCTATCCAGCTTTTTTTTTCCTGCTTTCAATGATAAAACCATGGGAAATTTGTGCACCTTGGACAGAGTGGCAAAGCATTTCTTCTGTTCTTCATCCCATCGTCAGATGTGTACAATTTATAACATCAGAGAACTAAAGTTTCCCTAGTACATTATTAAGTTATCTTTGGCGGGAATTTGAAATGAAAATTACTAAAACATTTTAATTATCTAAAATAAGTTGAAATAGCAAACTACTAAGGAAGACAGGAAGTAGTATATAACATTTTTAGACTGAAAGCAATACAAATAAAAATTGACCTCTACATTGATACTTAGTACAATAGTTATTACTAAGTAATAAATTCAGAGAGGCATGAGAAACTCTGAAATCAATGAGCACAAGCAAAGTGTTTTGGCTGGAATTGGGTGGGGAGTTCAAGGTAATGGGCCCCCACAAGTTCTTCTTTCCAGTGAATCCAGTACCAAAACAACAGTACTCAGACGGGATTTTCACGTGAAGATGTGTTCAGTGTCAAATTCAACAAGTTTCAAACCAATTGAGTAGCAAGATACAAATGTATTTGTTTTCTGTTGTTGCTATTAAAAATCTCTAAAAACCTTGTAATTTAAACCAGCAGATATGAGTTAATTTCTGGAAGTCAGAAATCCATTGCCCTCCCTGGGTTAGAATCTAGGTGTTAGCAGGCTTGTCTCCTGCTGCATGTTGTAGGGGAGAAGATAATTCATTGCCCTGTAGCTTCTAAGGTGGCTTCATTCTGCAGTTTGTGGCTGCTTCTTTCATATTCAAAGCCCACCGTCTGGTGTCTTCTCTGTTGTCCTGCCTTCTGCCTAAGCTTTTAAGGACCTTCATAATCACAGGATTATACTGGACCCACTTAGATTATCCACGATAATCTTCCTATCTCAGATCTATTTATTCATTGTTTGTTGGTTGGCTTGTTTTTTAGGGGACAGGTTCTCTCTATGTAATCCAGGATGGCCTTGAAGTCACTATACAGCTCAGGCTGTGCTTGAACTTACCATTCTCCTGCCTCAGCCTCCCAAGTGTTGGGGTTACAGGCCTGCACCAAGGAGCTAGGCTCTTATTTTAGGATTTTTGGTTACATCTGCAATGTCTCATTTGTCATGTAAATTAACATATTCATGGCTCTGAAGATTAGAATATGGAAGTGTTTTTTTCTTAGGTTTTCCCTGAAACATCATGTTAAATAAAAGTTAAACCAATTCATACAGAAAGTTTTAAAATCTTAAATTTTCAGTTCCCACATAATATACAGTTATCTACTTCTATTTAAAATATTATCTTATTTTATTTTAATTATTGTGTTCTGCATTTAATATAATTATTTTGGCCAGGAAATAGGGATTTTTTTTTACATTTTATAAATGTTCATCTTGCTGTTGAATTGAAAGAGCATTCCTGTCCACATGATGGTCTCTTATTTTGCACACAGAGGCCGCTAATACTAAAATAATGAATGGTTGTTTTTAGTATTAGAGGAATTTTCATCTCTATATCAGTACAGTGGTAACTCAACATCTTATCAAACTACTCTTTAAATTAGAGGTAGAGTTCTTAATAAAAAATAACAATTGTGATTTTCACCTTATTGTCTAGTCAGGTCATACTGTGGTAATAGGCATCAAATCCCTATAGTTTTGCACAGCAGAGATTTGTACTGTGCTTACTTGTAACTGAGAGGTGTGCTAGGGCTGCTATCTTCTGCTCTGATCTAGTTCAACTTCCACCCAGCATCTGCCTGCCTGGTTCACACACTGACCATATCCCGTCACAAGTCATGTGTTGAAGCCCTGACAGAAACACAATGCTTGCACCAAGCGCCTGAGCAAGATGATTCACCAGACTGAGGATTCCCAGTCACCAGAACAGCTACAAATAAGCACTTGCTCTTTAAAGTTCCCCAACGATGGCATTTTGTTACAGCAGCCTAAACAGACTTAGATGTTTGGATAAATGCAACAATGGAAAAGAACAGAGAATCACAAGATGGTATTCCTTTTAGTTTGCATTACATGCATCAGACATCTACAAATGGACATGCCTCGCTTAGTGTGGGCATGGAAGTGAAATATTTCATGTACTGAGAGTTAGAGGGCTGTAGCTATAGGGAACACTGGCCATGTGACCATATTTGCTTTCACTGAAAAGGTCAGAGCTGGCATCACAGTCAAGGCCTTCTGTAGCTTTTCAAGTGATATGAAAATGGAAAATCCTTTCCAAAGGTCACTTGCAAGACTGAAAATTGTTTTCACACAAGAGATAATACCTGTATTAGTTTCCTGTGAGTGCCAAACCAAATGAACACAAACTAGGGGGCTTAGCACAGCAAGAATTCATTTTCCCACAGGTCAGGAGTCTAAAGTCTGAAACTACAGGATGGGCAGAGCAGGATTCCGCCAAAGGCTCCGGGGGAGAACCATCCCGCATCTCCGGGCTTTGCATGATCTCAGTGTTCTGTGGCCTGTGGATGCACCGTTCCAATCTATTCTTCCCTCTTCATCTGTGCCTCCCTTCTGTGTGTGTCTTTTCTTTGCTCTGGCTGCTATAGTGAAATACTTTTATTGGTTCATTTATAAATGACAGAAAATTGGAAAGCAGATGCCAGGAGATTTAGCATCTGATGAAGGTGTATTTCTTACAAATGGCATCTTTTAGCTGCTCATGCAGCAGACATTTCCTCACGTGTGTCTTTTCTATGGACATCAAAATGCAGTCTTCATAACCTCCCAAAGCCCCCCTACCATTTTAATACCGTTAGGTTCCACATGCAGACTACAGTAATCTTTTCCCCCCAATAAAATCTCAACTGCAAGTTTTGTATAAACACACACACACAAACACACACATGCCACCGTCTAGCTTGCCAGCCTGGTGTTACGTGAGAGTGGCACAGCAATCATTCCTTGTTCGATCTTAGCTGGCCTGCCCGGGACTGAGCACCACTGCTGGTCATCCCTTAAACACGCACAAGCCTAGGGGAGTCCAAGTTGAGAAAAAACTTGAGAATATTAATGTCATTTAATAAACTTTTTGAGCGTCTATTATTCATTCACATGCACTAGGCTGGGCACTCAGGACTCAGATCCAAATTATAAGTTATGCTCATTTTAAATGCATCTACTTTAAGCAATTATTGCAGAGATTACTTTCTTACATAATTACATGGACTGGAGAACGTGTATACAGGAATCATATAGCTTCTTCCTCAAGACACTGGGTCCTCAGGGTTCTGGGCACAAATTCTTAGGAATTAGGAATCTGAGGAAATTGTATTCCAGGAAAGTCAAGGTATGAAGTAGTTAGGGAAAAGCTAGACCAAGGACTAAAAAGAAGCATGAAGTGGCATATTAGTAACCTGTCCCCTTGTTGGACATGATACCGGACAGCCACGGTTTAAAAGAGGAGAGGTTTAATTTGGCTTATGTTTAAGGTGATTCAGTCCATGGTGAGTGGTTCTATGGCAAGAACATCGTGGTGGAAGGGCAAGACACAACAGAGCTGTGGCTAGGAAGCCGAGAAGGGATCAGTGCCAGAGAGGAGGAGGTGAGGGACCAGACATAAGACCCAGGTACCTTTGTCTAATGACTGCATTTAAAAGGTCATTAGGTGCCAATATGTCATGTGGAAGCTCTTGTGTGATTCATCTTCACCTCCCCTTGTGCTTATTATTTCTCTGAATAACACCAAGCGTCAATATTTCTTTTTGCTGGATCTTCTACATGGTGGGTGCAGGCTAGAATCTACATAGAGACCCCCATGAAAGGCTGAAAGCCCGCTTTACACTCTGCATCCTTCCAGAACCCTTGAACACCCAATCAGAAGAGACTCCTTAGCCAGAGACTGGGGAAGCAGTTGGTTGAAAAGGGTGGCTGGGAAAAGTTTCTTACATCTGTATGGTACCCGTTTTCTCCTGAACAATATGTTTACTTGGGTTGGCACTGAGACAAGCTGAGGGAGATAATGGGGAATTTGGTGATTTCCCTCTGTTTTCCTGAGCTACAGGGAGGATGTGCGACGACTGCATTGTTTTGATCATGACTTTCTGTCTGTTCTTATTGCTTGTCTCTGTCTCTGTCTCTGTCTCTCTGTGTCTCCATCTTCCTCTGTCTCTACCTTTCTCTGTCTCTCTGTCTCTGTCTCTCACCCTCCTTCTCTCTCTCCCTCTCTGTGTCTGTCTAATCACTGTTCCACTGCTGCTGTTTACATAAACAAAGTCTCCTCATAGATACACTTTCTTCCTCTCTTATCTCTTCTAATAGGTTTTGTACATAGCAACCAGGGTAATAAGTCATTGTTCAGTGCCCTTCACTGAGAGCCCATCAACTTAAGCACAAGACGTCAAACTCCTTAGCAGGGTGGAAGAAGGCTTTTCCCCTCATTTTTCTTTCCTCGATAGATTTTAAAATGTATGCATAATGGATTAGATGATTCCAAAGAGACAGTCAAATTCGATCGAAAGAAAGAAGTCCTGAAGAAGGCTAGACAGAGAGTATGAATGGACAGAGCTGGGGAAATGGTTTAACTTCATAGGGTTGAACACAGTGTGAATAAAGAAGTCTGGGCCCAAACCATAGGTGATAAGCCCTGGAAGATAGAAATACTTGCACACATTTGGAATTTTCTACCTATTGTTCCAAATGCCTGAGAAAACATGCACTCTTGCTTCACTCAGAAAATTCCAAGGGTGTTTCTTTGATCTCAGTGTTGAATGTACTTCTTCCAGGAAACATTTTCTGAGGGGTAAGACTTTTACAGTGACAGACACGGTGCACATCTGTAAGTGCAGTCTTTCGGGAATCTGAGGGGGGAGGATCACAAGTTTTAGTCTGGGCAAGTTGACAACTGAGGGAGACTTGCAACACAAGAAATTTTAACAAGGCCTGGGGATGTAGTTCTGTGAAAAGGCACTGGCTTTAGTCCCGACTATCAGAAAAATATATTGTGTGACACATGTGCTTCTACCAAATGTATGGAACTGTGATTTTATTTTAAATTCTGTCTCTCCCAATGTGAGTTTTTGTCCTATTTATGGGACCCACACCTTTCTCACCATATCACTATTATCTGACAAATGATGGATACATAGAAAATGCTGTCATTGATTGAATCAGTATATCAGCCAATAAAAGAGATATGTGCATTTGTGGTAATGAGCACTTGTAAATTTTGATTACAGGAGGAAAAGCAATATATGGTAGAATAGGGAGAGGAACACATCTTGCAAAAAGCTACAACAGCTTTCCTAATGTAAGTTCATTCTCAATATGTTCTGGGTCATATTGCTGATATTCTATCTCTGTTCCAAGAAAATCCTATTACACAAATTTTTAGCTGTAGCAGAATTGGTCTTGGGGGGTAGGGAAAGTTCCTTTCAAAATTACACTGTTTAAAGCTTAATTATAAGAAATAATTGTTCGCAGGAAATGCAGCTGAGCTAATTCAGCTGTCCCAACATGGTCTTTTGATCTCAGATTTCATGCAACGGTTTTGGACTGTGTTGATTTTTAATTATGAGGCGTACAAAACATGTATTAGGTGTCGAGATTTTCCAAGGACTGCATGAGGCAACAGACTCCCAGATCTTCATCAGTGGTCTGTTCAAAACAGTTAGGCTCCAGATTTGTATTGCAAGTTAGTAACGCCTGCATTTGGACCAAGCATGGTTCTCTGTGTGATTCATCTTCTCTGTCAGAATCTCTTTTTACAGCTCCCATCAGAGCTCTTAAGTTTGGAAATTTGTGTGGATTTTTCTTCGTTTTGTTTTGAAATGACAGGAATTATGAAAGCAATTCAAAATCTTTCTGGTTATTTTCCCTTCCCCATCTTCAGTTTCCCTAACTTGCAGTTTATCATGATTACTTGAGTCAAAGAATCTCTGTCATGTTTCAATATTTTTTAAATGGATGATAGCTATTATGGGAATCTCATGCAGCTTTCATGTTTTGCCTTATGTATTGTCTTTCCATTTATTACCTTTGTTTATACCAAAATAGCTTCTTGTTTACCTGGTAAGCTGTCATATTATTCTGAGAAAGAAAATACGACTACTACCTTATGTTCTACCATAAAAGCAAGAGATAGAAATGACCTGAAAGGTCACTTTATCCTCTTGCCAAGTTACAAAACAGTCCCCAGAGAAATGATGCACTTCAATATGTCATAGTTTCTACACTATGATGAATTAGAATGTCTCAAACACTAGACTGCAGAAACTTTCCAGAGAATTCTGGTAGATGGAGCATATTCTACACATAGTAGGTTACAAACATAATGTGTGAAGATAAAAAAGATAAACCAGAAAAAGCGTGAGTTCAATGAAATTTTAATAAGGTAGGTATAATGTGGTATTTGTTTCTCATAGTAAATTTTCAGTGTGATAAATTTCTTTAGCCTTCTTTTGCTTAAATTTATATTTCTTCATAAAATATATTTATACTAAGCTAGTGACATGTTTCTCTATGGGTTAGCCCTTTGAAAAATAATCCCAACAGTGCCACAAAAGGTTTATGGAGTGGTGGTGTTTCCCTCAGGATATAGCACTGTGGAAACTTCAGATTCATCTACTTTCTTGATTTTTTTTAAAAGTCCTTTCTGGATGAGAAGTATAGATGACACATTTAATAAATAAAATTGTAACAAAAAGAAAAGATTGATGGTATGACAAAGAGGTTTTTCATAAAGTGAAATGAGCAATGTGAAATGAGGCTCATTGTTATACACAAAAAATAAAGTTTTGAGGTAAGGCAACAGCTTTCTTTCAGAGAGAGAAGCAGAAGAAGGATGCTGCTTTCAGGCACTTTAAAGGAAAAGTATCACTTTTGGCTTAGCTATCTAAATATTTAAGCAAAAAAGATTTTCACTAAATGAATTTGCCAGATGATTTTAATAATGAAAATAGTACTGTGCTTCACTGCTTTTGTATGGAGCTGGTTTCAATCTAGTAGCTTAGCCTATAGGAATTCGCCATTTTGCTTGATGTGTGATATCAATCCTATACTGCAAGTTCCTGGAGGCTGAGGGTGCCTATGGTAATGGAAAGAACACTTCAAATGGAATTCAAAAGGAGTACAGGAAGACACAAAATATTGCTTCCTGACTCTCTAGTTCTGACATATTGGAGATACTTGGTCCAGTCAGGAAGTACAAGACTAATTTTCTAACATACGCATATTATATTATTTTTTTATTTGGAAGGGTTTGTGTAATGTCTCTTTAAACTAACTGGATACAATGGAATCACATTTATACCAAATTAAATGTTTCATAATATCAAGTATAATGTGGACATGTTAATTTTTATTCCCTAGGTAAGAATGGAAGCAACACAAATTTTACATTAATTTTATTTATAGGATTTTACTTTGAAATTGCAGGATTAAAAAATTAACAGAAATTGATGTTTATAACTTGTTCCACTCCATACTAGTAGATAATGCATATCAACTAAAATTTATTTCCAGCATAAGAAAAATGTATTTACAATGGAGTAATTTTACAATGTGTAGTTTTCTGTTATGTGCATGCGATTTATTTTGGGTGTGATAGAAATGTACTATCATTTTCTGATACAAAAGAATAAACTATCATGTGTTCAATAGCCTACCAATTTTATTTTCTTTCTCCATCCTGCTTTAGAAACGTGACTTAAGGTTTTTCTAGAGGTCAACTTTTATCACATAAAATTAACCTTTCTCTCGCTCTTTCTTAAATATATATATTTAATCAAAAATTATCATATTTAAAACATATACTGAGTATGGATTCTAAAAAATGATGTCCTTGTAGGGATTCTTTATTTCATTTTTTCTTTTTTCTTCTTTACAATATTTTACTATTGTAAAATTAATGCCACATTCTATTTTGTAACACAGTTTCCTCAGTGCTTTGGCTATTAGACAGTTCATAAACTGGAAAATACTATTTGTTGAGGAATTTGTAACAAAGGCTCTTAATTAGACTCTGTCTATATTATCTGTCTTTTTTTTTTTTTCAAGTACTAACAATTGAACCCAGGGCTTTTGCCCTGAGCTACCTCCCTAGTCCGTTTTTACTTTCTGTTCTGAGACAGGGCCTTGGCTAAGTCACCAAGTTACCCAGGCTGGGGTCTAACTCATGATCCTCCTATCTCAGCCTCCCAGAGCACTGGGATTACAGGAGTACACCACTATGACCTGCTATATTATCTCTTTCAATCCTCAGAAATTTGCCAAATACACAAAAGCTTGAACCCATTGCCACTTGAGTGTGCAGGAGTATCTTATATTAATCGGCGCAAAACTCCTGATTCCTGTTATAGTCTATTGCAGTATAGTTGAGTATTCCTAGATTATGTGTCTTAAAATGGCCGTTTTATTTTGCTGATATTCTTAGAGGAGTTTGGTGAAGGATTAAAGAGAGGATTGGTCACCAACGCACATGCGTTTGTCTGTCTGTGTCTCTGTCTCTCTGCGTCTCTCTATGTCTGCCTCTCTGTGTCTGTCTCTGTCTGTTTGTTTCTGTCTGTCTTTGTCTCTGTTTCTCTCTGTGTGGGTCTCTCCACCTCTGTCTGTCTGTGTTTGTCTCTCTGTCTCTGTTTTTGTCTCTGTCTCTATCTCTCCCTCTCATTGCCTCCTTGTTCATCTCCATCTCCTTCTCCGTACTACTTCCACTCCATCTCTCTCATGTTGGTCTTCTTACATCACGGCAGCCAAAGGCTGCACAGTGCCCCAGGTTCCCAAAACCGAGTGTTCCAAGAAACAAAGTTTAAGATACCAATCTGCAATTGTGGGCACAGAAGCTTATGCCATACAATGTGTACCATATTCTATCAGGTACAATGGATACAGAGCTCACCAAGGCTGAAGGTAAGGGCATAGACCCAGCCCTCAATTGCAGGAGTGCCACGGAATTTGTGGCCACCTTTACTTAGTTTGTTGTAATTTCTAATTCTACAAATTTTTCTTCTATAGCCATTATTCCTCGGAAAATCTAGTCATCTCCGTCAAAAACACTAGTGTCACCCTTTGGTCCTCTCCTCTGCTTCACAGATCCTCTCAGAGTAATCTATCAGCTATACTTTATAAATATATCCACAAGCTGGCCACTAGTTACCTCTCCACTGCCAAAAACCTAGTATAAGACATCAGCATTTTGTGCTTGACAATAAGGAAATCTCATATTCCTATACTGGGCTGTATTTATGTCTATGAGAAAAGAACAATTTGCTGCAACACTATTAATCTGTCTATGCTATCGGTACAGGTAAACTTGAGACTAAAATCTTGAAAACAAGAACTTAACACATTTATTAAAATTTAATATATCAAATTTAAAATACCAAAAGTAACAAATACATGTGGATAACATAAAGTGTTTAAATGTGTTTCAGGGTCCATTCACTTTTCCATTTATTTTGCTGTACTTCATTGTCAAACTGAATCATTTATACTTAAAAACTTTATCTGATTTATCGCAAATATGATTTCCTTTTGCCTTTGTGTCAATATATTATTGCATATATAATGTCTTAATTATAAAAAGAAATGACACCAATGTATTCCAGGGCTTATAAGGACTTCATGTTTTGTTTTGTGTTTTCCTACAAAGCTATGCATCTCTGAATCTGAAAGTGATTTTCAAAACAACTTTAAAGATCAAGAGTTCTGCCTATCCTTGTGGGGTGCACTCTTATTTAATGTGAATTGCAATCAAGACAATTAAACAAGTCTATTTTTCTTTGTTCTTTGGAGATTTAATAATGACAGAGACATAAGTAGGTTCAGGTGTTGTAGCAGAGAGGCGTATCATTGTGGGCTGTTAACAATTGTTGCACTATGCCTTTCCACAATAATTATCATTAAATTATTATTGTTTTTCCCAAAAAATATTGTCTCATCTATACAGCTTAAGTGGTGCTGTGATCAAATTATTTCTCAGATTAGATCTAAATTAGGAAAGCTGCCAGGTGCTTTCATCAAGGTTTGTAGTAATTTATTAAACAACATTTGCAGGTGTTATAATTTTTAATGTATCTAGCATATACTTAACTATCCAGCACCTTGCTAATGAATAAGATAGACATATATAAGCAACATGGAAAGAAAATCTATGAACTTCACTACATATTTATATCACTTGGAGCAATAACATTACGTGGAGCCTAATTTAAAAAGCTCTCCACTCGAAATGCAATGTTGATTTGAAGTTATCGGGGTAATTTAATAGCGCTGTTACCGTATGGTGCGGAAGTGTGGTTTATCACGACCATGTAATTCCCTTCAACTAGGAGAAGGAGTGAACACAGTAGGTGTGGAGAATATTTATCTCCTGTCTTTAATGTTGGAACATTAGGCTCCTTCTCTTCCCTGATTCTGGAGATAATTTGCATTTAGTCAGCGCTAAACAACTCCATCTGCACTTCCGACTCAACAACCAGTTTTCTGTGCTTTGCTCAATTTTAATTACATCTCCCTATAAGCTATACAGTATCTTATTACTCACTCTAAAAGATCTGATAAGATTTCTTATAGTTTTTCAATTAGCCAATATATACTTTCTGGTATAAATAAAGCCCTATTGAAAGACTCGTAAATACATACACATGCCACAGCTGCACACCTGTACAGAGTTTAACATTTTCATTATTAAGGCAAAATATCGCTATTGACATTGATGGTGATTGTAGTGGTTCAGTTATAACTTTGATTTCCATAAATTTTACATGCTACTGAAGGCAATTTTCACCTAAATCTCACTTTCTTCAACTTTGACATGGAATATCAAGCTGTTCCTCATAGTTCTATTATGATTAATAAACATATATAATATAGCAAAATATTCTGTTATGTTTGCTACAGATATTACTACTACACATATAAGTTCTATTTATACCCAGGAATAGTGTATTATCTGAGCTTGTTCACAGTGGTCTTTCAACCTTTGGCTAGAATTCACAACATATATGAACTTGTATTGAAAAATAGTGTCTTTATTTTCACTCATCTTTAAGGTTAATTTCCTTACAGTAATTTAGCCTGTCCTTGCATTGTAGATGTAGACAAAAATCTCATAATGCTTACAATTAGGTGGTACTGGTATCACTCGAAACCATAGATATTTTTCTATACATAATGCATGCTGTAGTTATCTTAAAGTATCATTTATGTTCATGACTATTATTAAATTGTAGCTATCTCATGTGATCTCAGTTTTAGTATTTCAAACTTACCCAATTTGGATTATATTGGTCTTAATTGTAACTTAGGCAACAAATAATAATGTCATATTTTTGCAATGGATTTTACCCACAAAGCTTTGTATGCTCATGTTCTTTGAAAGAAATCAAGTATTATGTCATAAAGCAAGCCATGAAAGTCATGATATGTTCTTTGGAAGAGTATTTTCAATCAAACTATTGAAATCTATGCCTATTCCATGAGGTAAATATGTTGTTTGTGTAAGGTTATACTTTTACATTTTTCTTTTGTTGGTTATTAAAAAGCAAATGGCGCTTCCAAACTTAATAATTCAGAGCTGGGGATTTAGCTCAGCGGCACAGCGCCTGCCTGGCAAGCGCAATGTGCTGAGTTCGATTCCCAGTACCTGAAGAAAAAAAACAAAAAACAGAAAAACCAAAAAGACAAACTTAATAATTCTATTTTCTTTGTTATTATTAGCATAACATCATTGAGCCTAAGAAACAGTCTATTTTTCAATGTAGAAATGCAGTTTTTGGAATGCACTGTGTTTTCTAATACTAGCATATAAGTTTTCTTTTCATATTACTTTTTAAAAATTTATTTTCCCACTGTCTTATATCTGATTTGTGTTGACTGACTTTTATGAAGCAACATTTTCTAAAATGTTCACAACATTTTCACTGGGAAGGTTTAACTTCTATGAGGAGGCTATTTTTTCACCTCTCTATATTTTTTTCTTTTTTATATAGTTAGTGTTCTCATAGTTATTTTTATTATTTACTGGGAATACAGAACTCTATAAAGTTTAAAATTACTACTTTGCTACTGTTAGAAAATTTTAGGAAGTTTTTAATTAATTAATTAATCAAAGAAGTTTGGAAATTTATTTATACAATACATGGTTTCTTATGATAAATTTTGCAGTATAAACATATAAGATGGTCATTATTTTCAAAAATTTTGAATCTTTTTGAAGAGGAAATATTTGGGACATATTTCTTAATAATAAAAGTTAACAATAAAAGAAGTTTTAATAGTGTGTAGTAGTGTGGGCAAATATTCAAGTCTATCTTAATTTCTTAGGGGACAACTTTCCATTTAGATAAATTGTATTATCCTCCATTAGCATATATAGAAAAAAACTAAAATTGTCCCCCCAAACATAAAAGGGATGAAGAAAAGACCTTCTTTACATGAAAATACAAACTAATAACAAAAAAAGAAATTGTAGCAAAAACATCATTTCACAATCTCTTGTTTAATCATCTACTCCAGTAAAAGTAATGAACACTAACGAAATAATTTTAGGAATACAATTGTCACATAGTCTCCTTTCATTTCTAGCGCATTATTTATATGCATAAAAACCATCACAGGAATCTTTGAGGGGAGCAATCTGGTGAAACTAAAGCAGAAGAAACTAATAGGAACTTCACAATATGAATTGAAAAAGTGCTTAGTTTTCATAAAACAGTGTGAAAACAATCATAGAAATCAAATTGTAACACTACTTACTCCAACTATCAATATATCAGGAGACCACCAAATAAAATGCAGAGAGACAGTGGCTTGTTCTTACATTTGAATCTTTGCATCTATGTTCCCCTAAGATTTTCTTATATTGATGTATAGTCCATCTTCATTGTAACAAAACACCTGAAACTGTAGTCTTCATAAGTAAAAGAAGTTATGTTTCGATTCCGGTTTTGGAAGCAGAATGTCTAGGTTTGGGTGACTCCACTGATCCGGTGTCTGCTGAGATCACTGTCATGGAGGGCATCACGGTGTTGGATGCATGAATGAAGGAAATCACAAGGTAAGATAGAAAGCCGGAAACGAAGCAAGGCCCGCTGTTTTATAATAACTCATTCTTTGGGGAACTAAGTAAGGTCTCAGAAGTACCACCTCAGTTTACTCTGAAAGCAGCACCCAGGTTCCTAAACACATGGCCCAGTGGTTTTGGCTCTTAAAAGTGTTGTTACCCCTTGTCACATCCACACCAGAGACTAAGCTCCCCACACATAAGGCTTTGTTGGGACCCACTCAAGCCATATTAAAAATCATATAAATTGCTTTGGTTTCAAAATTACCATGATAATTTAATACACCATATCATCTGGATAGCAAGTTGTACAAAACAGTCTTCATAGGAGCTGCCTTTTAAATTAGAATTTGGCAAAATTGCTGTTAAGCATTTGAAGGTTAGGACTCTTGTTTTATTCTTTCACATTTACAAGACATGGTTTCTTTAGAAAACGGAGGAGAGAATTTTCAGCCTAAGTCTTGAAATCATACTAGAGTTTTGAAATTCTCATTGACATCATAAATAATTTATGGAGTGAGGCCTATTTATTTCTTATTCACAGTGTGCGAGATCTCCTTAGCAGCAGAATTATACAAATTTAAGGAAATGTAAACAGTGTTACAGAAGTTCACGGTTTAGGGCAAGTCGCTCAATGTGTTAAGGCAAGAAAAGAGAAAAAGGTTATACTTTTAAATAGTAAGGCTCTCCTCTTTCTAATCGTGATTACCGCATATTATTTGTGCAGATTACGGGGGTTCAGTGTGATAATTCAACACATGAATCTATGCAAACTGATAAGAGACAGCTTTCTTTTTATCCAACCTGTGATCCTCCCTTCCCCTAGAAATTCAGATCACCTTTTTAAAAAAAACTTTCACATATGAGAAAGGAAATGCGCATTTCTGTGGATAACTCTGCTCATCAAGCATGTTCGTCAGTTGCATGACTCTTGCTCCAAGTGATAAGATATCATTTTTCTCTAGGGCTGAATAATAGTTCATTTTGTATATGTGCCTCATTTTCTTTATCCACGTATCAGTTGATGGGCATCAAGGTGTTTGAGAACTTAACTTTCTGAGCAACGTCACAGAAAACATGGTCATGCAAGTATCTGTTTGTTACAAAAATTTAATTTGGACATACCCTAAAAAATGGTACAGCTATATGTAGAGTAGATATATTTTTGTTTTTTGAGGAATTTCCATATTGCTCTCCTCAACTAAATTGCGTTTCACACAACAGTATATGGGGGTTTCCTTTTCGCCATATCTTTGTTTTTTAAAAATGAAACACATTTGATTCTAATTTCAGAGGATATTTCCTTGCTGTTTTCATTTTTCTGGTGGCTAGTGATAGTAAGTATTGTTTCATAAATATGTTGGCCACTTGCATTTTTTTTTGAGATGTATCTATTCCTATCATTTGCCTTTTTAAATATTGAAATATTTCTTTTTTTCTCAAATTTTTAAATTTCCATATACAGTCTGGATATTAATCCTTTGTCAAATGGCTGAGAAGTGTCTCTTCATATTCTGCAGGCTGTTGATTCTTTCTGTTGTTTTCTTTTCTGTACACAAGTATTTATTTGAACTTGATCTAATGCAGTATATATGACTTTGCTTTTGTTTCCAGTACTTTAGAAGTTATACAAAAACTACCAATAGCAATATCTTAAAATGTCTCCTCTATGCTTTTTGTAGTAGTGTCATATTGTTTTTTGGTACTTGATCCATTTTGAGTTCATTTTTATACAGAGTGAATGATAGAGTTCAATTGTCAATCCTCTGCATTTGGATATCCACTATTTTCTGAATCTTTTTTTTTGTTGTTGTTGTTTTTTCAGTACCGGGAATCAAACTCATGACCTCGCGCTTGCCAGGTAGGTGCTGTGCCGCTGAGCTAAATCCTCAGCCCCCACAATCATTTATTAAAGACATCTTTTCTCTAAGATTTTTGGTGCCTTTATTGATGGTCAGTTAACTGTAGAGTCATGAATTTACTTTTGGGATCTCTCTTCTGTGCCATTATTTTATGTTCTTTTATCCAGGGACCATGTTCTTTTCTTGGTTGTTTTGTTCTGTTTCATTTACTATGGCTCTGGATTATGTCTTGGATTCAGGTATTGTAACACTTGAGCTTGAGTTCTTTTGTTCAAGGTTGCTCTATCTATTCAGGATCTTTTATGTTTACATATGTAGTTTAGGACTATTTATTTCTAGTTCTGTGAATAATGTTATTATATTTTAATGGGGATTGCATTGAATCTGTAATTCCCATTAGGTAGGGTGACTATTTTAACAATATAAATTCTGGCAATCTGTAGACATGAGTGGTCTTTCTTTCTTTTTGTCTTCTTCAATTTATTTTACTATTGTCTTTTTTCATTATAGATTTTGTAACTTATTAAATTTATTCTCAGGTTTTTATTTTGTAGCTATTATAAATGAAATTGCTTTCATTATTTATTTGAAACTGTCTTGTTATTGAAGCTACTGATTTTGTAAGCTGGTTTTATTTCCTACAACATTACTGAATTAATTTATCAGTTTGAATAGTCTTTTGGTAAATTCTTTAGGTTTTTCTACAATTAGTATCATATTGTTTAAAAACAGAGTAATTTAATTTCTTCCCTTCTTATTTTGTGCCTTATATTTTTTCTCTTGCCTTTAATTTACCAAACCTTCACATCTTATATTGAAAGAGAGGAGAAAGCGACATTATTTCTTGTTTTCAGTGTATAAACATATAAAATAGATATAATTTAATAAAAGGGTTAATGAATTACAGATTTTTTGCAAAACACTCAAATGACAAAACTTTGCTAGTCTAAATCCAAACTACAAATGAGCCAAATAAATATTTTAGAGCTGAAAAAGAGATTGCAACAATATCACAGAAATAGAAAAGATCATTAGAGATTAACAAATGTATATGGCAACAAACTGAAGGACCTTAGAAGAGATGGATGAATTTCAGAGCACATACAACTACTGAGTCATGAAGAGGAAGAAAACCTAAACATGCCAAGAATGTGTAGTGAGACTGAGTCAGGAATAGAACATGTCTCACGTTTGTGACCAGATAGCTCCAGTGCTGAATTATATCAAACTTTTAGAGAAAAGTTAAAGTCGGTTGTTTTCAAACTATTCTAAGGGGTTGAAAAAGGCAATTCTTTCAAACACTTTCAGTGAGGTGTGGGGTGTAAGCACTGCATTACCCTGATAACAAAAGTAGACCCAGGCACAATGGGGAGTATGGGAGAGAAAGAGGGAGAGAGAGAGAGAGAGAGAGAGAGAGAGAGAGAGAGAGA